AGACCGTGGGCGTGGTACATTCCCAGACGTTTCGCCGGCATCGTAGTCAGCATCGTCAGTGAGTTTTACAATTCGTAGCACCATATTACAACTCATCAAAGAGACATGTAAGATTATGTATTCCGGAAAAGGTGTGTTCATCTTAGTCTTCCTGTCAATATTACCAAATTTCGAAGACAATGTCAAACAACTAATATAGATCGAAAGGAGACTGGGACCAAACTAAAGGCCACAACATCCTGGTCTTCTTCTTTACGTTTATACCATCCTTTTTATTCACCTCAAGGCGCATTATTATATGAAGGATTATAGTTGCTTTTTCAATCAATGATATTATGTAGGCCTCGCACTAACATTTTTTTTCACTTAGCAAAAGGTATTTATCATTAGTGTACCGCATGAGTCTCAGCGGCCCAACGGGAATCCGACTCCAGTAGAGACAAGTCTTTTTGACGAGTTGTAATATGATGCTACGAATGGCAAAACTCGCTGACGATGCCGGCGAAACTTCTGGGAATGTACCACGTCCACGGTCCGACTTTGGAAATGATTATGCATACAATGAACTCCGGACAAGGTTCGTTCCTCCAAGTATTCCTACCAATATGACCGAGTTGTGAAAAGAAGGTTAAACAACTTGTATACAACGAAAGGAGACTGCGACCACACAAACGGCCACAGCATCTTGGTCTTCATTCCCTTAAATGAATAATAATGAATTTTTAAAACAGTAGCCTTATGCCACACATTATTATGCGTTTTCTTCGTTCATTCAGACCATTTTAACATATTATAGGTGAGCACAGGGCCAGCGACTATGACAGCTTACTAAGACGATTGATTTTGAGTGCTATCAGCAATTAGAACGAAAAACTCGGTCGACAAATGCTTGGAATCCTTATCCGAATTTTGAGAGTAATCTATCATGCATGGATAAATTTTTATATACTCTCCAGTGCCTTTATTTTTTGCCTTGATAGGGATTATTTGTATCGTACACTTTTGTTCACTCATTTAATTTTTAACTCGGACGCACTATAATTTTGGCTTGGAATTCTCGAGTGCCTGATTCTTTATTTTTGATTTGAAGTGGTCTTCATATATTTTTGAGATGATTTCGATTATCTATCCGATGCTTTTTGCTTTGATATTTCCTTTATTTTTCATTTTGCTACCTCATACCAGCTCTATTGCCTTCAACGATCTTATGGCTTGGCCGACCCTCAATCCGATGCCACATTGAATCCCGATCTTGTTGGCGTGACGTACGCCTGGGCTAGCGGACAATCATTTTCAACTATAGTAGGTCTCACCAGCATATCCGAGGGACATCTTGTGCGTGGATTGCAGCGACTTGACGAACTTCTTCGACATGTCTGCTCGGCTTGCCAGCGTCTTGGGGATCAGGCTTTGTCTGCTAAGGTAGCAGAGGCTCGCTCATCTATCCATCGAGACATTATTTGTACACCTAGTCTCTATGTATCCTATGTTTTGGCTAATTCAGAAAATGCTGAAGAGGACTTTAAAGAAGATCTAGATCAGGACAGAGCCTAAATTTACAAAAATGTATGCTGCTTTTATATGCATATATATATATATATATACAGAGAGAGAAATGTTTAGCTATATTTAATTGTATATATGGTATCTATTTGTGTACATTATATATTAAATACATTATACATTATACATTAAATATACATTATACATTTATACATTAAATCCATTTGTTTTTTTATATTGTAAAGATGTTTTGATAATCCAATACATTCTTTTTTTCATTAATCGATTCTTGTCAGGATTGCTTTACCGTAATATTACACATTTAACGGAGTTTGTATATTTATATTATTTTTATTAATGGTGTGCTATTGGTTCTAATCATAGTCAATTTTAGCCATCTCTTTCTAACTCATATGAAGGCAAACAATGCTCATCCACATAACCAGATGTATGTCCGACCTTGCGCAATCGGAGTGATGGCTATAACATATATGTAAAAAGGGAAGATAGTGGTCATCAAACCTTGATAGCCGAGAACATACTTTACTTTTGGTGTCCTAATTATTTTGAGTCATTACTGCTGGCTTCGTGCATAGGCGAGAGACAGACACACACACATGCTTCGAGGTTCACATATGAGTGTAACTAACCAATTTACTTTATTCCTCATTAAAGAGACCAGATATAGGGTATATAAACAGCTTTATAGGGATGTGCCGGTGAGTTTCCTTGACTCGTTTGTTTGAATTTGGTTTTAAGGATGATACCTTGCTACGATATTGTTCGCCATATGATGGACAAAGGCTTTGCACGTTTTAACTGGAATCGAAGGGGATTACCTCGGGAACAGCATCAACATGAATGCTCAAGTAAAGCTAATTTACAGCTGGTCAAGAGGCATCCATCACTATCCTCTGGTGGAATCGATCTTTGGATCTCTTCACCAAATACTTTTGCTCGAGATTAAAGTAAACTCAACATTTATGAAACAAGAGATTCCTCGAAATCCAAATTTTCTTCACATAATCCAATACATTATTTTTTTCTCATTAATCAATTCTTAGTTGTTTGTCTAAGCTTATTTGAAACGTATTCACACTCCCCGCTGATTTTCAAAACCCTCCCACTGTTCCGGGAGTGTTGGTCCAAGGCTGCGGTTTAATCCGCAATTCCCTCCCTTCAGGTCCTGTCAGGATCCCCCTCTTGCTCCGTAGGATCCTTCCCTTATCTGCCTATTTCAATGATTTCACGCCATCGCTGCCACCGTATCCGTGCTACTCAATGCATTATGTTTTACACTCAGCCCCAAACCTCGGTGCGGCATGTGCACCGAGTAAATGTCGTGGTCAAACCTTTACTTCATGGACAAAGACTTATCTGCTAACAGCCAACTAGAAATGGTCGCCACCGTTTCTCTCGCTCTTTATCCCTAATGCCAAGTCTATGACTTTCTCTTTCGTATCGACTTCCAAATATGATGGTTCTACTTGATTTGAATAGACTCACTGTAGACGTCTTCTTTTGATTTCCGATTGCTCCTCCCTGGTCTCCTTGTAATTTCTATTCCTAAAATTAAAAATATATTACCTTTGTCCAGTCGCCGTCTTTTGGCTGATATTGCTGTTCCTTCATCTTCTAGTTTGCTTAGGCAGTATGCAAAGTTTTCGCTTATACTGCCTTCTTTGTGTCTCCTGTTCATTAGATTACTTTCAGGCAGAATATCGATGGCTTCTCATATCTTGCGTTTTCCTTTATTATCACCATATGCAGCCAGCCTTTTTGTCGATTTCTAATCGATTGGGTGTCCCGTCCATGCTATATGTTTCGCTACTTCGGATCTTTCATTATCCATATTTCTGCAGAGTCTTTCGTGTTCGTTGATTCGTAGACTGGTTTTTCTTCCTTCTTCGTCAATATACTTGTGCTCACATTTGCCGCATATGATGCTATAGACTCCTTAGCAATTCAATTTGTCAGCCTTCTCGTGTTAATTCATTATACTAGTGGAGTGTTGCATTTTTTATCACCTTGATATTCCATTTTATAACAACGGTATTAATTTTTTGCGCAGTTTACGTGAGAGCAGGGATATCTACTTTTGGACGTCCTTTCGATTCCAGATCTTATTTTCATTAAATCCTTATTGAAATCTGCTCTTTATCCTTCTTTTTTTTCTAACTTCCGTTACTAAGGCAAATCTGAATCATTTTCTCCAACTCCCCGTTCCAGAACTCAATGTCTTAAGCTTCCGATGATCAAACTCCTCAGTATTCCTATCTTCAATCTATAGTTATGGTGAGAATGAAAATTAAGGATTATTCGGGCATATGAATTTTTTCTGTATAGTGTCCTTTTTGAATATTCCGTTAGAGCTAATGATCTCAATACCCAGGAAGGGTAGTCATTTATTTTCCCCCATCTCCATTGTGAATTAAATTCTTCCCAGAAGTTTGTTTATAACATTGAGGAACTTATCAAAATTTTATTACCATGCGACCAAGGTAAAAGGTAGTCTTCCAGCTATAGCATAAGCACTCTTGGTTGCCGCGGTGACTTCTCGAATTCCTTCTTCAATCTGTCCATGTATACATTTGCCAAAACAGGTAGGAGTGGAGATATTATCGACAAGCCAAATATTTGCTGATAGATATTGCCGTTGAATGGAAAATATGTGATACTTACTGTCAAGTTGGTTAGTCGTGTTAACGACTCTTTACGTGACTGCTCTGCCTCCAGGATATCCCCCTCTGGTTCTAAGACCTCCAGCAGGGCGATGACTGCCTTCTCATCTGAGATGTTTGTGTACATGGATTGTACGTCAAAACTCCTGTAAACTTTTCCGTTCTTGCCAGTCCAATATTTTGGATCCTATGAGAAAATATATATGAATTCTTCACGATGTTCAAAACTGTCGTTTACTTTCTTGGGCATCATGCATATAAATTTCGCTAATTTGTGCGTTGCTCTATGCTTGTTATCTACTATTAACCTTAGTAGTTTTCCTTCAATGTGTATCTTCGGCAGTCCTTAGGTCGTCATTGTTCTTGCGTCATTTTATATCAAAGAATTCATCATCTGTCGATTTCTCCGTTATACATTTCCTTCAGTATTCCGTTGATCCTCATTGTTGGATCCTTTCTTAGTATTTGATAAGTGCTACGGCCACTTAGGATATTTTTCACTTTTTTTGTGTACTGCTGCCTGTCCATTATCAACGTTGCACTTACCCTATCAGTCTGAAGAACTATTTGGTCATTCATTTGTAATTTTCTACGTATCTTCATCAATCCACCCATTTTAATTTACTCTTGATTAGACAGAATTCTCGGGATTAATTCAGTTTCCATCTCCCGTTTGGTCTCTTCTGGGAATTAATCCGAGGTGTTGATAATTTTTAGAAAGATATATTCGAAAATCTTTGAAATGCACATTTCCCTGTGACCCAAGGGCGCTCGTGGCAATGTGGCCGAGTGCTTAATGTTTCGAGCTCACATTCTGCAATTTCACGGTTCAACTTCTGCTGGGAGTGTTCATAAGGCTTATGCGAGGTCGAAACTGCTGTCAACTCTTGATGAGAACAACTTTTGGGGAAGCAAGGCAATGTGAAATGTAATGGAAACGTCAGCTCTACTCATATCTTTGTGGGAAAATTCTACTACCAGTCCTTCATCACCTTAAACAAAATATGGTGAATATATCTCATATTACTGATTTACTGGTAGTCTCGATACTCTACTTATACATGAAAAATTAGATAAACAAGTAGGAAATTGTGATATTGAAGTAAGGATACAAAGAAATAGGATAGGTGAATACCCCAGGACAAAGTGAGAGATACCACAAGTGTTTAGCAGACAATTGGTTAAAGGATCGAATTCGTTTGTCTCTGACGAGTCATAGTGTGGTGTTTAGAATGAGAAGGCTCACTGACGAAGCCGGCGAACGTCTGGAAATATACCAAATCCACGGTCCGACTCTGGAAATGATCATGCGTACTATGGACTCCCGACAAGGTCAAGCAATTTCTATGCAACGAAAGGAGACTACTGCCATACAAAAGGCCACACCATCCTTGACTTTAGACCTTCGATTAAACCGTTTTCATTTCATGGACTATCTTCATGAAACTAAGCATGTGATAACGTTTTGATCCTGGTAATCTTTCTCATTCTCAGCTAGTGGTCCGAATTATGCATATTCTTGTAGTTCATTCTGATGATAGGCATTAGCTTTGCTTCCTATACCCACCTATAACCTACGTCAACGCGGCACGACTGCATTCTTTATTTTTAATTAAGAAGAAGAACTGGGTTTCGATTAATCTCTTCAGATAACATGGTTGTGGAGACCTTCATTTGGTTTGATGAAAAGATTCGTTGATTGATCCTACCGGGAGGCGACGGCAGATTCCTTTTTTTCTGCAGCCGTATTGATTTAACAAAACGTTCATATTGACACAGTCTACGATACACCCTTTCTCGTTTCGGGTGAATCAGGACTGAGCTTTCGTCTATCATATGACAGATATTATTGCGTTATGCATTTTTATCAGGCATTCCACCTAATTCCTATATCCCATTCTAACCATAGTCAACGCTACATGACTTCGTGGTTTACTTTTATAGGCTAAGACTAGATTACATTTGAAGTATATCCTAATGAAATTTTCATTTCATTATTTCATTTTCATTATTATTTTCAGGCAACCGGGGGGTAAAATCATGTGCATTATTTCAAGCTGGGATAGTACCTTATGCACTGATTAGCTTGCTAGTTGTATCTAAATTACAAGTTTTTAATACTTTTTTCTTAGTTTATTTTTCTAACTTTTAACCATAATATGAAGATAAGTTGTTGCGCCCATTTGGAACGAGCAGTTGGCGAACTTATTTTTACTGAATATTGAGGGTATTAGTAATTATTCAAGGAAACTACAGTTCATTAGGTGAGAAAGTTTTTAGATAGATTTTTCCCTTAAATAGACTTAACAGAATAAGTCTCCCAAAATATCTACTTGCAATCCAAAACTTAGCACTAGATCGTAGAAATTA